TATATATATACATATGTATGTATATATATACATATGTATGTATATATATACATATGTATGTATATATATACATATGTATGTATATATATACATATGTATGTATATATATTGCCCATTGTTTGTCATATATATTGCCCATGTGTGTATATATATATGTATATATACACATGTATAGGTATATACATATATATATACATATACATAGATATATATATATATATATACATAGATATATACATATATATATCTACATAGTGCTGTTCCAATAATTGACGATGAGAACATGGTTTTCTGCCATTTGATTCTCTTTGAATGGTTTGATTTGTGCCTAAACAATTGACTATTTAATTAATTTTGGGATTTTATTAATTCCTAAGAGAATTTTTATGTCTAAAAAAAATTTAAACTTTAAAATTATGAAACTAATTTTTTTAAATATTACTAAAAAAATATATTTTGCTGGATTAATAATATTTATATAATTATTTTAATAGTTTAAGATCTATTAAGTCTATTATAGCAGCTAAATAAATAATTAAAATACAAAAATAATCAGGAGATTAATATGTCATTATTTGTAATGAAATCTTCCACTTTTTGGCATACATATAAATTTCATATATTTCAACATTAAAAAATATAAACATACTCGCATAAATGTTTATAAGAAATTATAAGGCTTTAAAACATTATCATTAAGCAATATAAAAAATATTTCTCCGAAGAATTTTTGAAATTTATGAATATTTATGCTACTTATTTTTCATGCGGTTGTAACCCTTAAAATCATTTTAAATTTAACTTATTAATGAAAATATTTAATTATTTTTATTGTTAATTAGAGATAGTTTGAGCCTAATAAAACTTATTTCGTTATATCAAGAGTTTTCTTATATTTTTTAGTTTTTAAAGAGAGATCTTCAAACACGTGTCCGTTTTAAATAAAATGTTTATTTTTTTTTCTGTAAATCATTATTTTAAGCTCTTATTTGCTTTCATTACGAATCATAAAAATAGTTCAAATGAGCCATTGTCTCATTAGTTTGTATCTCATTAGTTTGTATAATAGACACACACACACACACACACACACACACACACACACACACACACACACACACACACACACACACACACACACACACACACACACACACACACACACACACACACACACACACACACACACACACACACACACACACACACACACACACACACACACACACACACACACACACACACACACACACACACACACACACACACACACACACACACACACACACACACACACACACACACACACACACACACACACACACACACACACACACACACACACACACACACACACACACACACACACACACACACACACACACACACACACACACACACACACACACACACACACACACACACACACACACACACACACACACACACACATATATATATATATATATATATATATATATATATATAGATACAAAATTGAAGTTTGTAAGGATATGTTCAACTTAAAAATCCTTTTTTTCACATTTTCAAAACACAATATTGAAGTTTGTTTTAGTGCTCTCCAAAAGGCGGGAAATGTTTTGTTTCAGACCTCAAGGATCCGCAAAAATTGTGAAACCAATAGTAGAGAATATACTTAGTGTTAAAAGTTCTCCAAATAACTTTAGCCTTACACATTATATTAATGGTATCAAGTTTAGGAATGCCAAGCTCCCCAAGGTCCCTATATTTAGTGGCAACATTGCATGGGACAAGTAGCTCCGAATGGTTGTTTTAGCCATATGAAACCTTCCACTGAAGGATAGGGCTTTAATTTTCTTCTCCCAAGGGATTTTTTTTCATTTTTTTCCCATAATTTTGGGACAATCAATGTCTTTATGCTCGAAAGTGTTGATTGTGACGCCCAAATAATCCTACAAGAGATCTTTAAATTGCAAGTCCATAACCTCAAATCTCCCGCTTCATCATCAATGTCCACAAGCCTTCGCTGAAGTTGACAGATCTCTCGCTGTATCTCCTCTTGGGTAGGCTCGAGCATGTATCTCATTATGGGCATGGCTATCGGTTAGAAATAAACAAGAAAATCTTTGGTGGGGTTGGCCTGTGAAGAGGCGGATGCTAGGAAACCCTAAGATAAGATTAGGGTGGAGCTAGCTTGAATACTAAATGATACCGAAGGAGAAAACTCAAACTGCATAAGCAACTTTTATTAATAGAAAAATAGGTTTACAACACACATAAATTGAAAATAACATCACCAAAACGCAGGACGACACAATCAAACGCTTTGAAAGTGTACCTCAAGGGCGGTGGAGGTTGGTTGAAAGGTGGGGTGGCAAGCTGGGAAGGTGAGACAGTAGCTGTAAAAAGCTGGCAGCGATGGGAAAGGCTGGCACAGCAAGGTAGCTGTTGTAAAGGTGCCGGCGGGATGTCGGGAATGGCTCTGAAAGGGGTTGAACAACAGCTTGCTGCAGCAGAAAAGGGGTCGGCAATGCAGGGGGAAGCCGTTGGGAGAGGCCGGCGGCTAGAGGAAGTGGAGGAGAATAAGTAGAGAAGATAAAAGATAGAGATACAATCACCATCTCGGAGTAGGATATAGCCGGAGCACCACCATCTCCACGGATATAGCCCACAAAGGGGAAAAGGACTCCACACAGGATGTCTGAAAGCAAAGACAACAAAAAAACCAAACATTAAATCCAGAAAACAGTAATTTAAAGACACTCACAGTGGAAAAACATAAAAGGAAAGCTCTCATAAGAAAATCACTAAAATGGAAGGAGGGGAAATGGATTGGCAGCAATGCCACCCTTCCCAATATGCCGCTTAATCGAGCGGGAGGCATGACAGGGCGTGAGATGCAAAAGGAAAGGCCACTCGAGTCGTATAAAGTCGCTCGATACTTTGGAAGTTTGGACCAGGTCTCCTGGACCGATTCCCCATGTCAGCTAGTTCAGTCGGCTGCAACCATAGCAGAAAGGGGGGAAACCCCACGTCGGTCATTTGATTTAAAATCTCAAACCAAGCCAAATCTAGTAATAGGTTGGTTTGACATGAGTTTGAAAAGTGACAAAAATCAATCATTTTCGATCTCATTAGGCAAAATTTTCACTTAACACATACAAATATATATATATATACACACATACACACATATATATATTCCACAGGATGCATCGCCTTGCTCTGCTAGGGTTTACTACTCCCGTCGTGACTCCATGGCGATGCGAGCAGCTGCAGCGGTTCGTAGACTCCTACTTGAAGAAGAAGGGTGGGGGATCGTGTTGTCGTACCCCAGCCTCTCGTATAGTTTTAAACCTTGGGAAGACTTTTTGTTGATATGGATGGCTCTATGGAATCAAATTAGGTTTTTCCTCAGGTTTACCATGAATCATTTGAAGGACAGGAGGACTACAACCTTATTAAGAAGACGGGTAAGAATAGTGTCAAACTAGCTCTATTCTTCTCTGATGTTGAAGTTTCCAACCTGGTTAACAAGTTCAAATTCACCCTCATTGGGAAGTTCTAATTGGGACATCCCAAAATGGAAATCATTCGAAAGGCTTTTGAAGATCTCAAACTATTAGGATTTTGGAAGGTTGACCTCTTTGATGGGAGACATGTGATGATACAATTATCTAAAGTGGAAAACTTTGCCAAAATATTTTCCAAAAAAATTATGACAATAGAGGGAAAATATATGAAACTGCTTAAGTGGTCTCCTAAATTTGACCCTAGTCAAGAACTACCTATTGTTCCAATCTGGTTTAAATTACGTGACCTAAAGTTGCACTACTTCAACCACCAAGTTCTCTACTCCATTGGAGCCGCACTAGGGAGACCTTTGAAATTGGATACACCCACCTTCAATCTAATCAGGCCTTCGGTTGCAAGAATTCTTGTTGAAATAGATATCACCCTCCCTGATGTGGACGAAATATGACTTGGTATTGCCCACAATGGGTATTGGCAGCCAATTATAGCAGAAAAAAACACTACTACTATAATCACTATAACCACTATAAACTGTTTGGGCACACCCCTGTCAAATGCTTCAGGCTTCACCCACATTTGAGATCGGCGGGCCCTAATAGCATCATCCATGTGGGGGAAAATATAGTTGACATTGTTAATCTTCCAGAAATGTTGAATTAGAATTTGACTCGTAAGACTACTCCTCACCAACTAGGCCAGCATTTTCCGCCTACTGTTGTTGAGGTAGCTTTTCCTCAGATTACAAATTCTACGAATTTTGTTGTAGCAACTTGGAACCACCTATTGCGAGAGAAGAGGGTACTCAAGTTATGGAGGAGTGTCAGGATCAAGGTGTGCTGCAGGCTGAGTCAGACAACAGTTTACCTCCAATGAAGATTCACCTATTGTTCACACGGGACTACCTCTGGTAGATGATTGACAGGTTTACAAATCTAGGAAGAAGAAGAAAGGAATGTTTGATCTCAGTAACTCTCAAGATGACTGTATCATTGTTTCTGGCAGAAACCCACATCTCAGTATGTTGTTGGACTCCCTTCCTGGATCTAGGGGAGGGAGAAGTGGTAGATCCACCGACTATAGCAACTATGATTAGGAGTTTTTTTTCTTTTTGATTTATTTTTTAGGGAATACGTTTTTAATCCCTCTGAGTGGGCTCTTTGTACCCACTCACTAAAAACTTTGTATATTCTTATTTTTTATCAATGAATTTTATCTTTTAAAAAATATATATATATAATAAATTAGGAAATGATTTTATCATAATGTATTGATTTTTCTTTAGCGCTTTAAACTAGCCAAAAAAAGTTCAATCGCTTAAAATTTCTATAAATATATATTATTTCCATAATTCATTCAAAATTATATGTAATTTACATATTTCAAATTATATAGTTTCCATATTTATTTGGGAATGATATTTAAAAAATAATGATGATAACAATAATTAAATTAAATAATCACATCTATAAATAAGAATATGCCTATAAGAAAAATAGACTAATGAAAAAGCTTTGTGAAATATATGTGGTTCTCATTTTTTGTCATTAGGAAGAAAATTTCAAGAGTGCATCAAAAAGACTTCAAGCTTCAGAGATATACATAAGTTCTTTTGCATATAATGTATGTATGTATATATAATATTATAATTTTTTATATTTTGGGTACTAGAATTCTAATATGTGGGATTAACTAGACTTGGAAACTAGACAATGGGCCGAATCGTTAAAAAATTTATTGCATGCTTTACAATTATAGACATTTTTATTTCACAAAATTTTCTCATGATATAACTTATTCGAAACATACAGTTTTTTTAAATTACAATTCTAAAATTGAACATTAAAAAATTTTTGAAACACCAATTCACCCTAGCTCCTCTCTTGGCACGTCGTAGTCTCTACCAGCATCATCGCATGCAAAAAGTTGTAAGAACTTGAACTTCAACATTAGTGTTTGTAAGGATATGTTCAACTTAAAAATCCTTTTTTTTTTTCACTTTTTCACAACACAATATTGAAGTTTGTTTTAGTGCTCTCCAAAAGGGGGAAATGTTTTGTTTCAGACCACAAGGATCCGTAAAAATGGTGAAACCAATAGTAGAGAATATACTTAGTGTTAAAAGTTGTCCCAATAACTCTAGCCTTACACATTATATTAATGGTATCAAGATTAGGAATGCCAAGCTCGCCAAGATCCCTATATTTAGTGGCAACATTGCTTGGGACAAGTAGCTCCGAATGGTTGTTTTGGCCATATGAAACCTTACACATTTTCTTCTTCCAAGTGATTTTTTTTCATTTTTTTTCATAATTTTGGGACAATCAATATCTTTATGCTAGAAAGTGTTGATTGTGATGCACAAATAATCCTATGAGAGATCTTTAAATTGCAAGTCCATAACCTCAGTTATATTTGAATCTCCTAATTTCATCAAAAGATAGTTGTTATCTTAAAAATCCTATTACCCGAGCCTACTCATGATATCTATTAGTATGCAACACGCAATTGCAAATCAAACTCCCAAGATCATACAAACGCCCCATGATTTGTCATTGGTAGACTAAGACCACAAGCTCAATCCAGGATGACAAAATCATGTAATACTAATTGGGTTGACCACCCAACTTCATTTATGCTCGATGTCATATATAAGTATAACCCTCGCTAATCTTGAGCACACCAATGCCCTTAAATAATAGTGTTCTCAAGGATTGCACCCAAGCTATAATCGACTATGGGAGCTTCCGCCCACGAGTAATATCCATCCCTAGGTCAAATAAAAACTCCAGATACTTCAGGTAATCTTGAGGAAGAGATTACTCCTCCAGTTAATGATAAATTTTAAAATCCACTTGTTGCTTAGTAATATAATATTTGTGTGCTGATAATTCAGTTTGAAATTCTATAGAGGTCATATAAACAGCTCATTTTTTACACCGTAGCATGGATACACTCATCGGGAAACAGGCTGATGAGGTAGAATATTCTTTTCTTTTTCTTTTACTTCTATATTTTCTTTTTTAATGACTCAAAATCCAAATCTCCAATTTAGAGAAAAGGGGTAATGCCACGGGGCTACAAGGCCTGCGGCCAGTGAGGTAGTATATGCTAAAAGAGGAACCATTAGCAATATAAGGCCAACGGAGCATTTATAAGTTTCTATCGATCATATTTGCAACTAACCCAATGAAAGCATGTTAAGACAAGCGATAAACAACTGTTGCAAATAAAAAGATAAAACAAAACCTGTCTCAACTCCGGAGCTCTATGCCGATCATGATTCATAACATAACTGCGAACAAATAAAAGGAAATCAGGATAGCAATCGATGAACAATTGAAAAGTAGGCAAATCCGAATCAAAAGCTCACCCCACAGCATTGAAGAGGCAGCTATTATCCGAAGGTATTACCCTCCTCACAACAACGCCATCCATCCAACCTGAGAAAAACAATCCATTCTACCTCATCAAGCTGCCAAACCCCTCGGCCAGACTAAGATTCAACACACGAGTGAGCGCGAAATACATTATATCTAACAACAAAATCAGACGAATCCCCTACTAAAGCTCATAAATCAGAGTGAGCAACAATATTATGCATTACCGATAAAAAATTCTCCAATTAACACCGGGAAAATCCAGGCAGAACAGAAACAAACGCAAAACCGAATCTAGTAATAAAAGTTCGAGAACAGACCTTACTCCGAAGCCTCGTAAGACAAATCAAAAGGGAACCCTAGCGCGGTTCTGCAACGCAAAAGCTTTTAGAAGTCTCTGAAGCGGCACCCCTGAATTTCTCCAAGGATAATTTATAAATTACCGAAGCAGTTGCGGCGAAAAATACAGCCAGATGCAGCGGCAGATGGATAGTTGGATGGGAAGGCTTTTCATTTCTTTAATAATATGCTCTTATGAATTAAAGAAAGTTTTGAAACAAGTAGAGCCCAATGATGCGTTTAATTATTAGGTGCGGAGGGCGCATGCAGAGCTGCGTGCGCCCTCCTATCACAGCCCCACATACAGCCGCGATGTGCGGCTGTGATCGGAGAGCGCGCGCAGCTCTGCATGCGCCCTCCGCACCTAATAATTAAACGCATCATTGGGCTCTACTTGTTTCAAAACTTTCTTTAATTCATAAGAGCATATTATTAAAGAAATGAAAAGCCTTCCCATCCAACTATCCATCTGCCGCTGCATCTGGCTGTATTTTTCGCCGCAACTGCTTCGGTAATTTATAAATTATCCTTGGAGAAATTCAGGGGTGCCGCTTCAGAGACTTCTAAAAGCTTTTGCGTTGCAGAACCGCGCTAGGGTTCCCTTTTGATTTGTCTTACGAGGCTTCGGAGTAAGGTCTGTTCTCGAACTTTTATTACTAGATTCGGTTTTGCGTTTGTTTCTGTTCTGCCTGGATTTTCCCGGTGTTAATTGGAGAATTTTTTATCGGTAATGCATAATATTGTTGCTCACTCTGATTTATGAGCTTTAGTAGGGGATTCGTCTGATTTTGTTGTTAGATATAATGTATTTCGCGCTCACTCGTGTGTTGAATCTTAGTCTGGCCGAGGGGTTTGGCAGCTTGATGAGGTAGAATGGATTGTTTTTCTCAGGTTGGATGGATGGCGTTGTTGTGAGGAGGGTAATACCTTCGGATAATAGCTGCCTCTTCAATGCTGTGGGGTGAGCTTTTGATTCGGATTTGCCTACTTTTCAATTGTTCATCGATTGCTATCCTGATTTCCTTTTATTTGTTCGCAGTTATGTTATGAATCATGATCGGCATAGAGCTCCGGAGTTGAGACAGGTTTTGTTTTATCTTTTTATTTGCAACAGTTGTTTATCGCTTGTCTTAACATGCTTTCATTGGGTTAGTTGCAAATATGATCGATAGAAACTTATAAATGCTCCGTTGGCCTTATATTGCTAATGGTTCCTCTTTTAGCATATACTACCTCACTGGCCGCAGGCCTTGTAGCCCCGTGGCATTACCCCTTTTCTCTAAATTGGAGATTTGGATTTTGAGTCATTAAAAAAGAAAATATAGAAGTAAAAGAAAAAGAAAAGAATATTCTACCTCATCAGCCTGTTTCCCGATGAGTGTATCCATGCTACGGTGTAAAAAATGAGCTGTTTATATGACCTCTATAGAATTTCAAACTGAATTATCAGCACACAAATATTATATTACTAAGCAACAAGTGGATTTTAAAATTTATCATTAACTGGAGGAGTAATCTCTTCCTCAAGATTACCTGAAGTATCTGGAGTTTTTATTTGACCTAGGGATGGATATTACTCGTGGGCGGAAGCTCCCATAGTCGATTATAGCTTGGGTGCAATCCTTGAGAACACTATTATTTAAGGGCATTGGTGTGCTCAAGATTAGCGAGGGTTATACTTATATATGACATCGAGCATAAATGAAGTTGGGTGGTCAACCCAATTAGTATTACATGATTTTGTCATCCTGGATTGAGCTTGTGGTCTTAGTCTACCAATGACAAATCATGGGGCGTTTGTATGATCTTGGGAGTTTGATTTGCAATTGCGTGTTGCATACTAATAGATATCATGAGTAGGCTCGGGTAATAGGATTTTTAAGATAACAACTATCTTTTGATGAAATTAGGAGATTCAAATATAAATTCAAGCGAACCTTTTTGGGTTTTGCTAGTTTAAGATGTTTTTTACACGATCATTTGTATTCAACACACTTAGTTTGACCAATGCACGATGTGATTATTTCATAGGTGTAAAGCATGATCACTTTAGTCGTTCAAATTTGGATATCGAGTATACTTCATGAACAAATTCTATAATACACAGGTAGAAATGATTAGAGTGTTGTAGAATTTTCTTTAAGGTTGTTTGTGATCCATATTATGCATTTGATTTAGGGCATTTTTTGGGTTCTATTACTAAGGTTTGAGGTTATTATTTAGTTGGTAGAGGACATTTAAATGTATCATGAGGTGCCTCAAATAAAGACCTTGAGTTTACATAGAGCTGCAGGTTAAAACATAGTTAACCCATAAAAATAACTTGAACACTAGGGTTTATGTTTTTCGTGATATGATATAATGATTATTTCATTAATGAGAGCAATTGGGTCTCATTTCTTATAGGTGAGGATTACATCCTATGAGAAGGTTTGCAGATAGATTGGAAGATTTGTAAGAGATGTAAGTGTTTGATGTATAACCCAATTATCAATTGAGCTAAAAGTGTGGACTTGATATGAGGCGCATTATTCGTTACAATTCCATTTTATGTTTTGTTGAAAATTTTGGTCTTAAATTTTTGCATCTAGGTATGGAAGGCTCTGAGAGCTTGAAATTCATGTATTTGGTACGAACTCGACTTCAATATTATGATTTGTTTTGTATGTATTTTTTATTGGTGTTTATAAAGACTTGTGAGAAATTTAGCATAGTTTAGTGATGTTGCTTCACTTCTTAAAAAGCCAATGAATAGGTCACATGGCCTAACCTCTTATATTATAGCGGGGGTTGTTTGTGAATTGAGTTGCTTAGTTTGTTGATTAGAATTTTATTGATTACCCATGCTTTGTGGGTGACACAATTTTGATTATGATTTTATTAGACTATTTTAATATATCCCATATTAGAAATTTTTTTTTTCCAGGATCTGCCATACAATTAAGTGCACCACATCTAACTTTCATAGCCTTTGATCAATCCACTAAAGATTGAGACTTAGTGTTCTTAATGTGAGAGTCTCACTCTTATTATTTCTCGTGGTACCAATAGGGTAGGTTTAATTTGATGCATTTTGTTTGTTGAATTTGAAAACATGATTGAACTATGAGCAATTGTAATAATGCTCTATTAAGTGGTTTTGACAATCCTTCTTGTGCGCTCAAATTACCCACCCATGATACGAGTTTTGAGATTTATGGACATTTGTAATACTTTATGAAATTTTTTATGCTCGAAGATTTTCAAGGTGATTGAGGTTCATTGAAATCAAATTGAGGTATTGTGCACTTCATTAAACCCTCCAAGAAGCACTTGCTTGGATTTGAAAATCTTTGGGGTTTAAAAGAATCTTCCATGAATTTATGATATCTGGGAAAATTTTGATATTACCAAATTGAGCGCCTTAATAAGGTGATTCAAAGGGTCTATGCTCTTTGCTGGAGCACAATTTCAGTATTTTTTGGATGTTTCAAGGTATTTTTTTGAAGTTTGAGAATTTAGGCAAGTCTTCTTGTATGTGTCACCTTGAAATACATATGCCAAAGGAGTGGGGGTTTAGGCTAACCTAGTGAAACCAAGGATTTCGTGGGATTAGACACTAGTTGAGAATTGTAATGACACCCATTTATCATTGTTTGGAGGATTGTAAAAATTTGAGTAAGGTTTTTAGAATTAGTAGATTTAGTGGTTTTATAAGATTTGATTTAGCTATTATTTTTTCTTAATCTATTTTAAGTATTGAGTCAATTGTCTTAACTTTTTTTTCCTTGATAACTTCTCAGGCTTGATATGTTCTCTCATAGCTTTCTAGTTTTTTTTGTTAGCGTATATTATATTAAACTTGCTGCATTAATGATCCAATTTTATTTATTTATTTCTACGTTTTTAAATTCTTGATTATGCTGCATTTTAATGTTTTCATTTGATTTTTGTTGATTTAGAAAATGCTTACAATAAGATTCCAAGGATATTCTTTGGAAAGTTCTAGAGAAGAAAGATGTTCATATGACTTATTCAAGTAATTAAAGATATGTATATTAGAGCTGTTGCTTGTGTTCGAGCAACATGAGGATTGACCAAATATTTTCCTATTTCAGTTGGATTGCATCAGGGCTCGACTTTTAGCTCGTCTTTTAGCCATATCTTTTTGCTTTAGTTATGGATGTTCTTACTGGAAATTTACAGGAGAATGTATCTTGGTGCGTATGCTTTTTGCTGATGATATCCTTCTTGTGGATAAGACTAGAGAAATAGCTCAGGAAAAACTTGAATTTTGTAGCTCTACATTGGAGTCTAAAGGTTTTTGTTTGAGTAGAACTAAAACTAAATACATAGAATGTAATTGTAGTAGTAGTAGCTCTAGTGACAGAGTTACAACTATGGGCGATAAATTATTAATTATTAAAAGGTGGAAATTATTAAAAGGTGGGAACGCTTTAGATATCTTGAGTCTATTGTTTAAAGTGATGGTGATATAGATGGGGATGCTATTAGTAGAATTCAAGTTAGTTTGTTGAATTGGAGGAATGCTTCAGGTCTATTGTGTGATAAAAAAGTACCACTTGATTGAAAGGAAAGTTCTATAAGATGGTGGTGAAACCTGCAATGCTTTGGTGCAGGATGTTGGCTTTTAAAAAAGAAGCATAAAACTAAGATAAGTGTTGCCAAGATGATAATGCTTAGGTGGATGAGTGGGTTTACACTTAGAGACAAAATGTGAAATGAATATATTCATGATAAGGTTGGTGTAGCTCGGCGGACAAAATTACAAAGAGTCGTCTTAGATGGTTTAGTCACATTAAACGTCGACCTCTGATGATCCGGTTAGGAGACTAGATGTTTTAGATTTGGTTTATGTTAAGAAAGTAAGAGGTAGACCTTCAAAGACTTGGGCATATTGTATAAAAAAAGATCTTATTGTATAAAAAAAATAAAAAAAGATCTTAATTTATTAGAATTCAATGAAAATATGACACTCAATAGGATGCCATGGAGAAAAATGATTCATTCAGCCGACCCCACTTAGTGGAATAAAGGCTTTTTCTTGTTGTTGCTCTGATTTAATGTGTTCATCCTCTTTGATTTGTTTCTGATTTAACATTCTAATTGTTTTAATCTGTTTTGATTTCGTGTGCCATTTTATTTTATTAATATGCACGCGTACATGTTTAAATGTTTCTTTGTTATGATCAATTGGTATGATTTAATCTGTTTAAATTAATTTTGTAAATTCTTCTAATTCATTTTAATGAAACAATCTATCTATCTATCTATCTATCTTATTTGGCTTTGTTAAATTGGTTAGATTATTTGTTATACTATGAACATTATTTGTATTTTATTTTAATTTAACACCGTTCATTTTAAGTCTAGTTTGTTTTTATTCTTTTGATTCAATGTTAGCTTATTAAAACCAATTTTAATTAAGTTCATAGGTCCAATTCAATTTCCTTATTATTACTTTTTGGTTGCGTTGATTTAAATAATATAATTTAGGTTAATATGTTTATTTTTTACTTGTTTTATAAATTTGATTAATCAGTTTCATTGAATTTTAGTTAATAACTTGATAGTAGATATACTAATTAGTTTTTTTAGATTAACCGTTACTTTATTTATAGTTGGTTTCCAAATTGTTGAGTACAACCACCGGATGTCCATTTATTGATGAAAATGAGAATATTGTAGTGGATTTAAAACTATTGATTCAAATTTAGCTTTTAATGAAACAACCCGTAGGATCCTAGATGCACAATGCTTGTATGAAGGCTGTTAAAGGTTCATTAAATGACAGCTGCATTACATCTTTTCTTTCACCAGCTGACACTATATTAGTCTGGAAAAACGACCTATTTTGCAACCATCAATAGAGAAAGAAATAGTGCATTTCAGGCTTTGAGGCTCACTTACTGTTTGTTATTAATTTATTAGCATTTAGATAATAATTTAATTCATTTGATTTAAAAAAAATTTAGCTGTAGTAATGATGGGGGCATGATTTGGAGCTGAACTAGGCCAGTTTGGCAAAAGTTCTTGGACCGGTCTGAACCGGTCCAACAATTTTTATTTAAAATTCCCAGAATACCAATGCAAAACTCTCTCAGAAGAGCTGGGCTTAAATTTTAGGAGCCCACACAAGCCGCGCACTCATTGGACATATGGTCAAGTTATGCTTTTCAGGCTAAACTTAGTATAAGTAGCGAGTAGCACGGAACTCTCTAGCATATAGTTAAACTGCTTTTGCCTTTTCTTGAGGTCAACACTTCGTGTATCATTCTGTCTCAATTTTTTGGTACTCTCCATGATTAATATTTCAACCATTGTTGCTCAGAGGAAAAACCTAATGCAGTGCTTTACTGGAAACGACACTCACAGTACACCTGGTGTTTCATTAGATGCATGTGCTGGGACATTTGTTATCTGTCACTCTTATCCATAAATGTCATGCATCATTTGCATAATGTGCTTTTGATTGGAAAAGGAACAATGAAGAAGATTTATGGGAACATAATAGCAAAAAAAATGAAAGATAAATTCATCTTCTTTTGCTCTTTTATTTTTACATGGCACCTTTCTTTCAAGAATGGGATCTTTGCTTTATACCAGTGCTGCTTCTTGCTCAACACATCGCTATCTACAGACACGTGTTTATCTCATCTGCATTCAACTGCATGTAATATTTCTGTTTCCTCTAAAATTTGTGTTTTCTTACTGAGTTGATAAATTTCATCACAACTAACTGCCATTTGAGTGCATCGATTTGGAGTCCATCCTTCCCTTCCTCCCTCCCTCGCTCCTCTAACTTTACACACACACACACACACACATATATATATATATATATATATATACACACACACGGCAAAGTGGACAGATAACATAAATGGATCTAAAAGACTAGATCCTTTTTTGTTTTCAAGTCTGTCCAAATAGCCCTTTCTTTACGTGTACCTAAACTAGTATGTACGTTTAGGTTATAGCTGCAGCTGTGGCAAGTGATCCTGTAAAGTATAACGAGGCATTTCTTGGAAAATCTAATGCCGATTACTGTGCTTGGATTTTGAATCCTGAGAAATGGGGAGGTCAGTTTTCATTTTTCTTTTCTACTACTGGAAAATTTTCAATTGTCTATGGAATGAATATTACATTTCTATTAGTTTCCTGTGAAATAATTTTCTTCTTATCAATTTTATCATGTGCATGAATGCTTACGACCTTCCATGATGGTATAATGTTTGCTTAGCGTAATGTGTTCAATTATAGGCCTGCAATTGAAATTTGGGCATTTTTGTGGTATTATCTGTCAATATTAGAGTTCATATTTCTCTTTGGAAGAGAGCCATTGATATACTAGATTTTGTTTTTTACTTCCTTAAATTTATGTAATTACAAAAATAGAAGGACTACAATAATTCTTACATTATCCGTGGAGTGCTATTTTAACCTCAAACTAAAGAAAATATTTGATTTAGTTATCCATACTATCAAAATAGGAGCCAAATTAATCTCGTTAGAAGTAATGGAAATTGAAATCAAAGTAAATCGACAGCGTTCAATACTAGGATATTTTATGAATTCATGTCTTCAAATTTTAACAAAATATAATAAATAATTTTTTTAAAGTTTGGGATGATTTATGAGAAATTTATAAATAATAATTGATAAAGTTTATAAATTTACTATGCATTAATTTCATCATATAAATAATATATCTTCGTCGTTAATGATGTGTCAAGAAAGGAATACTACTTTGAAAGTACTCACATTTAGAAAACTCGGAATACAATTTATGCTCTTTCAACAAACACAAAATAATCTGTAAATGACATGATTATCATTATTTTGGGAATAAATCAATATATCATTAGTAAACACTCTTATATATTGATCAAAATATTGTTGGAGCATAGCGAATTCTGAAGGCGTACCAAAAATTTATAATGCCTATACCGAGTATTAAATTCGTTCTTTTCAATGCTTTATTCTTTACCCTTGATGATAACCAAGTCCTAAATTTTTTAGAAAAACTAAAGTTCATGCCGATTGATCAAACAAATAGTCAATTTTTTAACAGGATATTGTTCTTAAAATTAAAATGTTTTTAAAATTAAAATTGTTTAGCTCACTATAGTCTATACATAGTGTCATAGTATCATCTTTTTGGACAAAAAAATAGGTGCCCTCCAAGGACATGTCCTTAATTTAATGAATCCTTTCTTAGTTATCTTTGATGATTTATTCTTTAATTTTTGTAGCTTCTTAGTAGTCATTCTATATGGTCTTTTAATAATCGGTGCAATTTTAGGCTGAATCATTATTCCAAGCTCAGCCTTCCTTTTTAAAAGCAAACTAGAAAGTTTTCTTAAGAAAAATATCCATGCAGTCATTCACTACAAGGATGGCACATGTATCACTATCTACCTATGATAATTTCTAATTTGCCCAAGAATATGAATTCACTAGCTTTAGTCCATTTGTTCACCTTCATAGAGGTAATGAGAGATGAAATCGCCCGTCTTATTAGAAATAGGTGCTTTATCATTTGGCGTATTAAATCCGGCTCTCCTATTCTAACACTTGATGATAGCATTGCATTCAGCCAGCTAATCCCTTTATAAAATCACATGAAACTTAGTGATGGAAAAATTAATTTAGACCTGAATGTTTCACCCTCTATTAGATATCAACAGAGCTTAAAGTACTAGCAAATATGGCATTACAAGCTAGTAATATGATTCACAAACCAGTAGTAAGGATAGGTTCTAAATGCAACCTACTAACGAATAGCTAAGACAAGAAGAAATGGGAAGCTTCAGAATCAAAACAATGATATCTAAAATGCTAATTACACCTGTCACAATGTTTGAAGATTCCTTAACTTCCTTCGGTATAAGAAAAAACACTCATGCCGATATTGCTCTCATGATAGTCCCAAATTATTCTCCTTTCTGCTTCAAAGTTGATTTTTTCTAAGTGGGCTATCCATTCCAAATTTTCTCAATCCTTTGAACTCCTCACCGCGCTGTCACTTTGGACATTGTTAGGCAGCTCTTTATCTTGACTTGCTCCCCACTAATAATAGTTTTCAGGAATTGTCAAGCATTTTCCTGGATGAGGCTTCAAGATGTAGCACATTGTCCTTCTTGCTATTATGATTGATGCCCTAAAGTAAACTTCTATTTTTTTTTGCTTTGATGATCTTTTCTACTGACTATTTTCCTCTTATTATTTATTTTCTTATTTTTCCTGCCCATGGCAGTATTATGCTCTTGGAGTTTTGCACGCTTCACTAACTAAATAACATCCTTGATGCTTGGTAGGATCAATGGCTTGCACAACTTATCCTTAACCCCTCTTAGAATTTTATAATGTATCTCACTTAGTGTATCGATTAGCTAGGGAGCATGTTTGTATTATTATGTAGCCAATCTCTAAGCATTTGATTGAACTCATCCCTAGCATTTCTTTAGGTCTTCCCTCAAGCCTCTCCGCCAGCATTTTCTCTCCTTCTAGTACAAAGGTATCCGTGATAACCTGCCAATCAGTAGAACACTTCATGAGTTCATTATTTTCTCATTCATGTTTAATCTTTTTTTAATAGCTTTAGCATCAACTTTTCCCTTAAACATAAGCGGCTTCAAGCTCTGAAACAACTTGAATTATTTATTAATCTTTACTCTATCGCTGATACTAGCTCTGGCGTTAGGTAGTAAAATTAGTGTTATTGGTATAGGAAGTTTTGCTGGCTCAGCTATAAATTGCATTTTTTCCCATCATCCATACCTTATTTTCATCATTTACATTTGCATCATTTTGCCTGATATCATTACTACAGGATATGGATCAAGTGGTGCATTTCTGCACTAAGAGTAGTGCTTTCAAGAGGTCCACCTATCTTTTGTAACTCGGTTGTTATATTTGGTTTAGCTAATTGGCCATTTGTTTCTTCCAGTACTCTTTAAATCATATTTTCTGCAAATTATCATTGTTATTTAATGAAATTGTTATATTTCTATTAATTATTAATTTATTATATATTTTATAAACATAAAATACAGAGTTTGTCGCACCATTCATCCATGAAGATTACATTTACCTATGCTCTATAGTAATCATATCATATCCAATTTTCTTCTTTGACTCCAAGTCCATTCGAACTTATGTATTTAATCATCATAATTTAACTGCTCTTATCTCACTTTCTATCATCTCCTTTTGAATATCTCTATATCGTACAAAATTCATAATAGTAACAAATGCAAACCAGTTGACTTAATTTTTCACCAACATCTATTTTATAATTGCATTTATCAAAACAAAGTGACAAATTCGATCATCTGAGTGATCCAAATATATTATACAACATGACTTCTTAAATCATAGGGATCTAATGATTAACACAAATCAAATGTGCTGAAGCATTCCAAGATATTTCATTAATTCTACTTTGAAGCTTTTAACAAATATCAAAAATTCAGTTATAGAATATCAAACTTTCATCATAAACATATTTTAAGGAGCTTTATATCTTACACAGAAGTTATGCATCAAAACTTAAACTAATTTATTTAAAATTTGATTCTTACTCCATATCAACCTTATCATTCCCTCTATCTAAAGTAACAGCCAAAGTAATATTTAATGAGCTTAAAACTTAGCAACATGAATAATTCTAAAACATAATTCAAATATTCAAGAAATAAAACCATTTTAGTATACTAAATATGAGATAAAAATAAAATATAGACTGGACTAGTGCATTACCTGTTTCTTATAAATTGGCCATTCCTGAATAATAAGTAACATAATAATAAATGAGATAATATTATAGAAAAAAAAAATTTAAGAAGAGATGCTTAATATCAATCATAAGAGATAGCACACTATGTTAGTCATGTTTATAGGTGTCAATATTAGGAATTAGTTTTTCCATATTATCTATTTGTTTATTTAATTTATTTCTTATCTGTATTTTTTTTTTTATAAGTCTTAGAGTATGCCATATATGTCTGTATTAGTTTCATTGGCCATAATAAAATAGTATACTATGTCTTATCCACACCACATATCATAAGATTGGAAACCAAACCCAAAGGCCACATATTGTCTTTATAAGGGCTCATCTTTGTCTGTAATACTCATACAATTTATTATAAAAATATCGACTTGAGAACTCTTTTGCCCTTATATAGGCTCATTTTTAACGCTTTATCAATACATTTTATTATAAATATATCATTTTGAGAACTCTTTTGTCTCCATGTGAGTTCATCATTGTCGCCATATATAATTTTTCATAAATGTATCAACTTAATGACCCTTTTATCGTAAAATGGGCTCACTTTTTGTCGTCCTATCAGTACAGGTTGTCTTAAGGATATCATTTGCAAACCTATCCATAAATATGCTCTTTTTTAAGCCCATTTTATTTTCATCATACAAAATTTTAGTGTATGTGTGTGTAGCATTCGTTTTGATTTGGCTATTCATCGTTTCATCAATATGCGGATAACAAGTGTCAACTTTCCTATTTCTTAAAAAACATTTATTTAATTAACTATTAAGATAGTCATAATTCATTAAATGTGCTTTTCATCCCTTTATCTCCACCCACCGATCTCTATGTTTCTCCTATTGGCACATCACCTGCTTCTCATTTCATTCTCTCTAATTTTTGGAGAAACTTTTTGTCAAGCTTAAATGGTTAAACTTCCCTGAGACCGGAATGAAAATCCCTTCAAATTCTTTCAGACTTGATCCTCGACATTTTTTTTCTTTTCTCCTTTGTTTTGTATTCTTATTCATTAATGAATAATGTTTTCCCACATTTATAAATAATGCATGCAACTGTAATACATTAGTTTGTTGTTTATATATTTTTTATTATAATTTTTTTTTTGTTCGTGGATGCGTGCCCTATTGTCACGACCCGACTCAGTACTTACCATTAACTAAGTCGGGTACCACGGTCGGACGGTATTAACTTCTAACTATTCAAATAATGTTTTAGCAACTTTTCATATATAAAAGAGACAGATCCACAAAATGCAATAAATTTAAATCATCCAACAACATTCATAAA